AGGTAGAAAATATAGATAAAAATTTTAAATCACTAGAAATTGCATTATATAATTACTGATTTAAAGAATTTATATTCTATGCCCATCCATAGTTTTAAATACATATAAACTTTTTTCTTTTTTATTATGGCAAAATATATTTGACTTAAAATTTACCATCTAACCATTTTTAAGTGTATATTTCAGTTGTATTAAATATATCCATAATGTGTGACCATCTCTATCATCCATTTCCATAATTCTTTTCATCTTGTAAACCTGAAACCTGTATCCATTAAATGATAATTCCTCATTCTCCCTTCTCTCCAACCCCTGGCAAACATCATTCTACTTTCTGTGTCTATGATTTTGACCACTCTACATAGCTTATATAAGTAGAATCATACAGTATTTGTCTTTTTGTGATTGGGATTTTACATAGCATAGTATCCTCAAGGTTCTATGTTGGAGCATATGTCAGACTTCTTCCTTTTTAAGACCAAACAATATTCCATTGTATGTATACACCACATTTTGCTTATCCATTCATCTGTTGATGAACATTTGGATTGCTTAAAACTTTTAGCTATTGTGAATAATGCTGCTATGAACATGGGTGTACAAATATCTCTTCAAGACTCTGACTTCAACTCTTTTGGATATAAACCCAGATGTGGAATCACTGAATCATCAGGTAATTCTATTTGTAAGTCTTTGAGGAACCACCATACTGTTTCCCACAGTGGCTGTACGGTTTTATATTCCCACCAATAGGGGACACAAGGGTTTCAATTACTCCACATCCTTGCCAACATTTGTTATTTTCTGCAGGGTTTTCAATAGTAATCGTCCTAGTGAGTGTGAAGTGGTATTTCATTGTTGTTATGATTTGCATTTTCCCAATGATTAGCAATGTTGAAGATCATTTTTTTCATATGCTTACCAGTCATTTGTGTATTTATGGAATTACATATATACTATTATAATCCTCCAAATAATTAGCTCTTTCATGGACACTATTGGTTTTATCTATAGACTTAATATTTGTATCCCCTTCAAATTCATTATGTTGAAACCTAATACCCAATATGATGATATTTGGAGGTATAGCTTTTGGGAGGTGATTAGGTCATGAGAGTGGAGTCCTCATGAATAGTATGAATGTATTTGCAAAAGAGGTGGCAAAGAGCCCCCACACAACTTCCACCATGTAAGGTCACAGTAAAAAAACAAAAACAGCCCTGGCTGGCGTAGCTCAGTGGAGTGAGCTCGGGCTGCAAACCAAAGCATCGCAGGTTCGATTCCCAGCCAGGGCACATGCCTGGGTTGCAGGCCATGGCCCCCAGCAACCGCACATTGATGTTTCTCTCTCTCTCTCTCCCCCGACTTCCCTCTCTAAAAATAAATAAATAAATAAATCTTAAAAAAACTACTGTCTATTAATATGGAAGCCTGCCCTCACCAGATACAAGATCTGCCAGCGTCTTTACCTTGGACTTGTCGGATTCCAGAACTGGGAAATAAATTTCTGTTGTTTACAAGCCATTTGGTTTATGGTATTTTGTTGCAGTAGCCCAAATGGACTAAGACAGTTGCCTATACACTTTCCTTTCTTCTAATACTTTATTTTTAATTTAGGGGCCCACCTCTCTGCATACCTAAGGCAAAGTTGAACCTATTCATAGCTGTAGTAGGTTCTGAGAGAGATAAACCAAATAACGGTAAGCTCTATCCACTTGTCAGTATTTAGTTAGAAATATAGGCTTAAACAATAAGCTAAGGCAAGGTTTCTCAGCCCTGATACTACTGGGCCAGATAACTCCTGTTGTGTTTGGGTGGGGGCAGTACACTGTGTATTATAGGACACGTGTATATAGCAGAATCCCTGGCCTCTAACCACTAGATGCCAGTAGATACCACCCCCACAGTTGTAACAATGAAAACTGTCTTCAGACATTACCAAATATCACCTCTTCCCCACCATCAAAATGGTGACTCTTATTGAGCCAGGGATAGATAGGTACATGACCTAAGTTAGTCCAATCTGATTGAAAGACACACTTTGGTTGGGGGTAACCACTCTCTAAACTTACCATGGACAAGGAAAGAAGTTCCCTGGTTACTGCTGGCAGGTTTCTTGTGACCACAAATGTTGAAAGTTTACAAAGAGATGAGGGAAAGCTGGAAACAAATAGAAAAAGTATAAATAAGGGGTCATTCTTCAAACTTATGAGGAAACAATTTTTGCCAGGCCATGGTTCTATCATACTTAGAGGCAACCATACTTCTAGAACTACACTGTCCAATACAGTAACTACCAGTCACATGTGGCCACTGAACAGTTTAAATGTGGCTAGTCCAAACTGAGATGTATTGTAAGTATAAAATGCACACCAAATTTTGAAAAATTTGTATAAGAAAGTAAAATATATTATTAATAACTCTACATTAATTATATGTTGACATGTTATTTTTTTTAAAGATTTTATTTATTCATTTTTAGAGAGAGGGAATGGGAAGAAGAAAGAGGAGAGAAATATCAGCGTGTGGTTGCTTCTCATGCACTCCCTATCAAGCACCTGGGCTGCAACCCAGGTATGTGCCCTGACTGGGAATTGAACCAGCAACCCTTTGGTTCACAGGCCAGCACTCAATCCACTGAGCCACACCAGCCAGGGCTGAAATACTGTTTTTGATGTTTAGGTTAAATAAAATGGTATTGAAATGCATTTCACTTGTTTCTTTTTGCCATTTCAATGTGACTACTAGTAAATTAATATGCTATATGTGACTTTCATCAGAGGTTCACATTACATTTTTATTGTATAGAGCTGCTCTAGACTACCTGGTTTTTGAGATAATTAATTTTCTTATTGTTTAACCCCATGTAAATTAGGTTGGTCTTTTTTTCTGTAGAAAACATCATACTTGATATAAAAGACTACTATTTGTTAAACTGAAAAGCAGACAATATGTTTCAAGATTGAAGGAGGTAAATACTTTAGGAGAACTTCAGTTAATCCTTTTAATGATCTCTTATTCCATTTAAAGCTCCCATTTAAAGGTTTACTAACTAAAATACATTATAATTTTGGCAAATAGGAAGGGCATAGAATTTATCTCAGGTTATTTTCTGTGACAAGGATATTGGAGCATCATAAAACTCATAGGCCAGTAAAATGCAAAGCAATATTTGGATTATTTTCATGTGTAAGTATAGCCTCACATCTTATATAATTAAATAAAGCATTCTGCAAAGGGTAGTATGTTAAAACTCTTATATATATAAAATAAGTAAAATCAGATATTAAGGAGGAGGCACAATAATAACTTTTTCTTTGAAAAGAAGAAATATAAATGGTAATGAAAAATACAATAAAGAGTAAATAAAAAAGTAAAAATAAGAATAGAAATGGGAAGTGAAAACATAAAAATAATGTCTTGAAAAACAAAAGAGGAACTAGATCATCTGGGAAATTATAGATAAATCAGCTCTCTTCAACACATTATAGAACACAGAGAACTAATGTACAGTTGCCTCAAAGAGCATAATTTCAACTTCAAACTTAACATTAAAAAAAAATGGCGCCAGGCCATTTTAATTTCCTTCTATGATACACAGTCTACCAAAACCAAGGAGAGCACATTCACATAGCAAACCTTTCTGCTCATAACTATTAGCACTGTCCTGGACTAGAGAGGAAATGTCTATGAAATTACTCTATCTCATTTTTAAGTGATAGAGACTTTATTTTCTCTTACAAATTAATATAGGAGTTAGGCTATATTTATGTTCCTTCTAGATGGATCAATTGGTTCATTCAACTAGCAAATATGTTTTGTGCACCCCCCTCCCCCATGCTTTGGTAGTAGGCACTGGGACATGATGTACAAGATAGAAGACTCCTGATTGTCATGGGGCATCCAAGCTGGGGGAAGGGAGACAATACCCATAAATACATAAAGAAATAAAGCAAATTTTGAAAATGTTGATCACATAAAAACTTTGTATTAAATTTAGATGTATTAAATTTGTATAATTATTTGTATTAAATTAATATTTAAATTAAATTTGTATTAAATTATTAATATTTTAGAGGATAGAAATTAAGTTTTTAATGATTTTGATGCTCTACCAAACTGATCCCATAAAAAAAATAAATGGAAATGAGAAGTGGAAACTGTTACACAATTTGGCTTAAATACTGCAGATACGTGTTGATGAATACCTGACTACATATAGAAGAAACAAGCAGAAAAACAGCAAAACAGTAAAGGTGGAATGGAAAAATTCCTAACTAAAATTTACTGATGAGTGGCAGAGAGTAATATTTCAATTCCATTCTGCCTCAATCCACCCATTTGTCTGTCAGACAACTCTGTCTTAAAGGGACATGTGCCTTTAGGAGAACACTTCTTTGTTTACATTTTATATCTACTTCAAACATTAAAAAGGCGTCCTCCTGTTCCCTTCGGCTGTTTCACAAAAGAAACAGACCCTGAGGCAAGGGTCCACTCCAGTCACTTTCATAACCAGTGTTATGACGGAATTATACAGTGGGCAGCATGTCCTCTCCACTCCACTGATGTGGGTACTTTAAAATGCAGTGCATGACTAGTTATAAATTCTTTCATCGGTTCTCAAATGGATATACCCTGAGGAACATCCAAGATGTTTCCTGAAGCAAAGAAGCTTTCTGCACGGACGCCCTATATCCGACAATCACCCGGAAGCTGAGGAGCTATCCGGCCCCGCAGGGACCCAACAAAAGTTCCGGGGCGAAGGGCGGATCCTAGAGGACGTAGGTCTTTCTTGGAGCTGTGCCTGAATACTGGACATATTTTCAAACCAATAGCTCTTTAAGAAATTATTCCCATCGCTTAAAACCAAGAAATCGCGAGAAGACAGCCGTACTGCAGCCAGCGTAATTGCGCGTTGCGCCTGCGCGCTGTGAGGCAACCCACACTTCCGCCTGAGGAGTGCTGTCACTCACAGCCGTCTCCCGCCCAGTGCCGTGACGTAGCGCTTTCCTTTCCGCTTGGTGTGCATCCTGGGACGGAGGTCTGCGGAGCTGGGAGCTGCAAAGGCTTTACGCTGCGCGCCTCAGGCCGTTTTACTGCCAGTCAGTACGGGATCGCTTTGCCAAGAGTTGGAAGGAATAAAGGAATAAGGAAGGAGACTGTGGGCCGCCGGCCGCTGTGCTCCGAGTGGCTTTTTCTTCGCTCCTGTCCGGAGAAGCTGGGTTTACAGTCGTCACAGGATTGTAAGTATCCGAGGTGAAGAGAGCTCACTGCCCCCTGCTTTTTCACTTTGTTTTGGGAAAGTTTGTGGATTGGGCGTGTCTGCTGGGGCTTTGCTTAACTTTCTGTGCTGTAAATCATTCCGCAGGATTCGCCATTTGCTTTCCTGCACGCTAGCTCTCCGCATTGTCCGGCAGCGGCATCTAGAGGTTGGAACTTGGCATTGCAGCTTATATATTTAAATGGACCTGAATTTGCCAGTGTCTGTAACAACTGGTTTTCAGTCACAGCTCGTTTAAAAAGACTTGGTGTTTAGTTCAAAATTAAGAAAATAGACGCTTACCTGCTGTAGTACTTAAATATTTCAATTAATTACAAACTGATCCTTCTGACTGTTGCAAAAGCTGGAACTTTTTAGTGCAACAAGTGGTTATTGGAGAAGTGAGTCGCAAAGAAAGAAAGATGAGTAAGAGCAAAGATGATGCTCCTCACGAACTAGAGAGCCAGTTTATCTTACGTCTGCCTCCGGAATATGCTTCTACTGTGAGGCGGGCAGTACAGTCTGGTCATGTCAACCTGAAGGACAGACTGACAATAGAGTTACACCCGGATGGGCGTCATGGAATTGTCAGAGTGGACCGGGTTCCACTGGCCTCAAAATTGGTGGATTTGCCATGTGTTATTGAAAGCTTGAAAACTATTGATAAAAAAACCTTTTACAAGACAGCAGATATCTGTCAGATGCTTGTATCCACAGTTGATGGTGATCTCTATCCTCCAGTGGAGGAACCAGTTGCTGCTGCTGCTGCAGCAGCACCTCCTGCTGCTGACCCCAAAGCAAGTAAAAAAAAGGATAAGGACAAAGAGAAAAAGTTTATATGGAACCATGGAATCACTCTGCCTCTAAAAAATGTCAGAAAGAGAAGGTTCCGGAAGACAGCGAAGAAGAAGTATATCGAATCTCCAGATGTGGAAAAGGAAGTGAAGCGTTTGCTGAGTACAGATGCTGAAGCTGTCAGTACTCGTTGGGAAATAATTGCTGAAGATGAAACAAAAGAAACAGAAAATCAAGGCCTTGATATCTCTTCTCCAGGAATGTCAGGCCACAGGCAGGGCCATGACTCATTAGAACATGATGAGCTTCGGGAGATATTCAATGACCTCAGCAGCAGCAGTGAAGATGAAGATGAGACACAGCATCAAGATGAAGAAGATATCAACATCATTGACACAGAGGAAGATCTGGAAAGACAGCTACAGGACAAGCTAAATACATCAGATGAACAGCACCAAGAAAATGAAGGAACCAGTCAGCTGGTTATGGGAATTCAGAAACAGATTGATAACATGAAAGGGAAGCTCCAAGAGACCCAGGACAGGGCGAAACGACAGGAAGATCTCATCATGAAAGTGGAAAACCTGGCTCTCAAGAACAGATTCCAGGCTGTGCTAGATGAACTCAAACAAAAGGAAGACCGAGAAAAGGAGCAGCTCAGCTCTTTGCAAGAAGAGCTAGAATCACTCCTGGAGAAGTAAGAGTTTTTGATACTTAATTCCATTCCATAGAATGATCAGCATTAGAAGAAAAATTTTGGCTTCATCACCTGGATGAGATATAACTTAGCAGTCATTCCCATTTCCTCTGCTTCTATTGAATTTGTATTATAGACAGCTATAAATGTGCATGTCTATTTCATTTGTCTCTTACAGCTTTCCTGGGTGTTTATCCCATAGGAAGTAGGAATGTATGATAGATAAGTGTAGGAAAATTATAGGATTAGTGGAATGAACATTCAACCTTAGTAGTCATTACTTCACTGCAGGACGTTGCTGCTGTTTCTCATTTGCCAGGATCTGCTATTGCTGGCCTGTGATGCTATCTGAGATCAGTAAGAGTAGCCTAGAGGCTAGTGAATCTAATTTGCATATGTTTTCCCATGCAGTAGCTATTTTTCAACATGTAGAGTTATATGTCATTTTATAAAGTTTTAACAATAAAAACTAGTTTTTACCTCATAATGTGTCTTGCACTTTTAGGGGTAGTGGGTGTCATATCCTGTTGTGACATGGTTTGTTGGTGAGGTTTAATGACTGAGAATTTCATCCTGTTTTGTAGGGAAAGAAGCAGTTATGTCGGATTTTAAGAAAAAGACAAACACAGCAGGTGCAAAAAAAATTGGGAAATGCTGTCTTTGTATTTCATTAAGGTTCTGATCCACCAGCTCCATTTGAAGGTTAAGAAAAACTAGATGCAAAACCTTCCTAAATTACCCTAATTTTTATACATGAAGGTCTTTTTTTAATGCTTTGTGGGTTGGGTTTTTTTTTTTTTTTTTAGAGCATTTTGTCATCTGCTTAGTATATTAGGAACAAAACAAAGCCAGGGTTATCAAGTACTGTTGAGTTTAGGAAGGAATGAAATGAGGAAGAAATCAACAATCCATTGGCTTGAATTAAGATTATATACTTAAATAACTTACTTTCTGCAATTATTTAATATTCTGAGAACTTAGGTGATTTGTCCATATCAGTTTATCAAAATTGCTCATAAAGGAAGTTGGTACATAGTCTGATATTTCAAAATTCCTTAAGCATGATTTTCATGTTTTTTTTTTCAATATGTGCTAAAGATTGTAATCTAATGCCTCCACTTGAGCTATTTGGAAGACTCAGTGATAGAATTTACAAAATGCAGAGTTGTCTACAATTCACTTACAGCATTAGTTCATAAAGAAAATCTTTGGTTTGAAAATACTAGCCTCATGAAGCAAACATTTAAAAAGCCCATATTAGCAAGATATTTGACAAGAAACATTAGAAATGGTAAACAAATTTTCCAGACCTCTCAAGTCTACAATCATACTTGCAGATAATTTCTGTCTTGCTAGCTGATCATTTTTCTTTTACCAAAATGTTTCCATAATTTTAAGATTTCAATATAAAATATGGAGGCTTAGGCAAAGTTTCTCTCAATATCTAGGCTTTGGATTATTTCTTGAGGTTTGCAAATAATCAGGCAAGTTTTCCTAGTACAAGAGGGTGGTAGGTAACAAATTCTGTTTTAGTACATTGGGAATTCTGCTATGAGATTGACACCTGAAAAGCTTTCTTCTTACTTGGCTTTACAGTAAATCATTTATCAAAATAATTCTTAGGAAGACCTTAACACTAATGATGGTTAATTTCCGTTAATGGAAGGAGAGATCTGCACACAAAAGCAGAATTAGTGATTTGATTACCCTCATTTCAGTTATAAGCTCTGCTGATTTTTAAATCCATATTTCTAAGCCTGGTATCTTTGAACTTCAGATTTACTATAGTCAGCTGTGTGTTGGGAACACTCACTTATAAGTGTTACTTCAGGCAATGCAAATCTAAATGTTCAAAATGGAGCCCTTTATTCCTGCTCTTGAAGGCTTGTTCTTCCTCCTGTGTTTCTACCACCATCCCAGTTGCTGAAACTAGGAAAAAAAATTTTAACATTGTGTTTATTTTTAGAGAGGGGAAGGGAAGGAGAAAGAAACATTGATCTGCGGATGATTGCAGGCACCTGGCCCACAACCCAGGCAAGTGCCCTGACTGGAAATCAAACTAGTGATCTCTCAGTTCACAGGCAGGTGCTCATTCCACTAAGTCACACCAGCCAGGGCTAAAGCTAGAAATTTAACCCATCATCTTTGACTACTCCCCCTTACTATTGATTTTACTTTTCTAAAAAACTCTTCAGTCACTCTACTTCATCCCCACTGGTACTGTCCTTGTGTAAGCCATTATTCTCATCTAGCGAGTAGCAGTAGCTTCATTGATCTGGCCACCAAAATAAGATATATTTCATCATGTCACTCCTGTGCTTAAAACCATTCAGTGGTACATCATTATTTCAGGATTAAGTTTATATTTTTTAGAGATACACATGAGTGTGTGTGTTTTAGCCTTACCACATCCTCACTGTTTTCAATCCATACTGAGCTTAATTACATTTTTCAAGGAGTTTAATTACTCCCTTTCCTCTCTTGGGCCTAAGAACCTTTTAACAAGCTGTTCACTTCACCTAAAATACTCTCCCCTTTATTTGGCCATGTCCTACTTAACTCTCAGTCTCAACCTAAGTATCACTGGTCCCAGTGTCTTTCTTAAGCTCCATTTAGGTTAAGCAGTTCTATTATGGCTTTGCCTATACTCTGTGTTTCCCTTTTATTCAACAAGTATTTATTGTGCTGAGCAATACCAGACACTATATGAAGTCCTGAACTAAATATTTAGTGTCTGTAGTCTTTTGAACTCTATTAGTCTAGTGGGATAACTGGTCTGTTACGCATTTATCACACTAAAGTGTAAATTACCTGTTGCTCATATCCTCCACTCTGCTATAAATTCACTAAGTAGGCACTTTGGCTTATTAGTCACTGAACTTAATACATCATAAAGACATTAAAATTTCAAAGTCAAGAGATGTAGTGCATGGGTCTCTATCCTAGCTCAATGACTTACTATGTTATCTTAGACAAGTAACAATCTGTTTGCCTCAATTTTCTCATTTCTAAAATGGAGGTGATAATACTACCTACCTCATAGGCCTGTTGAGTTTTTGGCTGTTGGCTATTGAGTTGATATAGATAAGGGATTTAGAACAGTGCCTGGAATATAGTAAACAATAAAAACACTATTATTGCCTACTTAACTAAGGCCTGAACATAATAGAGAATTAAATAATTAGTTGAATTAAAGAGTTATCAAGATGGTAGAAAAATGTACAAAAAGCTGTTTAAAATGTGGACGACTGATTTCAAATTAAGTAATCAAAGTGTAAATTACAGTAATCAAAGAAACGGTTTGCTTATAATATACCTGCAGCATAAATAAATCGAGTCAACTTATTTGTAACTTTATTTTTTATTTGATTTATTTATGGCTTGCCTTTGTATTAATATTAAAAGCTCCACAATGGAGAGTAATTACCTGTTATATAAACTTAAAAAGGAAAGGACTTCAATGAAGAAGATTGTGGTCCATTTACTTTCAAATAAATTCAGAATTATAAAAAAAAGATCCATCTTTACTACAGCTTCCTTGGCTAATGAGTGTGGGTGTGGTCGGGCTACAGTTTTCAGTATTTCTGGGTTCATGAGCAAAAGTTATAAAGAAATCTTTAAAATTAGTGTTTTAAAATATAGAAGAGAGTCACTGAAAAAAATGAAACAATACAGCAATTTTACAAAAAAAAAATAACTCCCTTTCACACAGACTTTCTAGGGTAAACTGTTAACATTTTGATATGTGTCATTCTAGATCTTTATTTGTTATACAATTAATTGTATACATATATGTAGTTCTGTAAAGCAAAATAAAAATACTAGTTTGTTAGAGATATGATTCTGTAACTTTCTCAAAAATACATTGTGCACTCTGGCCAGGTAGCCAAGTTGGTTAGAGCACCATCCCAATATGCTAAGGTTGCAGGTTCAATCCCCAGTCAGGGCACATACAAGAATTAATCAATGGATGCATAAGTAAGTGGAACAATGAATTAATGTTTCTTCCTCTCTCTTTCTCCCCACTTCTCAAATCAATTTTAAAAAAAAACATTATGAGCTCTGGCTGGTGTGGCTCAGTGAATTGAGTGCTGGCCTGTGAACCAGTCAGGGCACATTCCTGGGTTGTAGGCCGGATCCCCAGAGAGGGGTGCATTAGAGGCAATTACAGAGTGATGCTTCTCTCCCTCTCTTTTCTCCTTCCCTTTCCCACTCTCTAAAAAGAAATAAATATCTTAAAACATTATGAGTATCCTTTCTTAGCATGTGTAGATCTGCTTTTTTCACAATATAGGTATTAATTTTGTCTCCCATATTGGGCATTGTTTAATATATGCTGGGCTCTATTCTCTCCAAGTCCAGCTGTTTAGTGAAACTTACTTTCTCTTACTATTTATGCAGCTATATCTGACAATTCAATGAAGATATACACTATTTCCCTATTAATGTTCTTGTGATCCCTGGCCTTTACCAATCTGTTTTCTCCAAAACACATATGAACTTACTGCAAAAGCAGCTGATGATTTATTGCAGTAATCCTGCATTTCTTGTGTTTATAAAAACTCAGTATGCTTTTGGAAAACAGTGACTCAGATATAATTAATTGAAAATTGGTGGTCATTATTAAAACATTGAGTGCATTTCTAGATAACTCAATAAGGACTCCACAATAAATATTAAAATATACTTTTTTTTCCCTATCTTCCCTGAAGGTCTACCAAAACATTAAAGCTTCCCTCAAATACGACATGGAAGATCTAAAAATCTTTTTCTAGTTTAAAATGGAAGATTGTTTTCATATATCTTTTCTCTATCAAAAAGGCTGCCAAAATAACAGTAACCCCCAAGGTTAAGAGAAGAAGAGATAAGAAAACATTAAAAAAATAGATGTCAAACCATTTTCAGAAGGTCAAAGCAGATAAATAAATGATAATTCAGAAATCAGAAAGTTACATGTGAAATATCTGCAAGGGGGAACACCAAGAACAAACCCACATGACATAGAACCTGTGGGATTTTTTGCAGGCATGTTTCCAAGAAAGGGAAATGGTGTGGGGCTGGAAACGGGATTCATTAAAGTCTGTGTTCAGAGCGGTTGCATATCCAAGATCCCTATCCCACCCTAGCATTCTAGGTGACTCCCTTCCCCATCCACAGATGGAATGTTTCATTTCATTTTACTATATTTTGGAAAGTTTATTTTCTAGGTAAATTGAAGCAAAGACTCAAAGTCAGAGAAAGGCAGATGAAGGTTGGGGTGTATAGCATCAAACAAGGGAATTATGTTAAAATCTATATCCTTTACTGCAGGAATGTCACTCATCTTCCCCCATCTTGGTCTTATTAAATCAGTATCCAAAAGATACCCCTTCCTCTCCCTCTGCTGCCCAACACACACACACACACACACACACACACAGAGTCAATTGGAAGATTATTCTCTGAAGAAACCATGTGGTTCCTGAGAAAATACAACCAAATACA